GTATTATAAATTTTAATTGTAAGTTGTTAAATTGTGGATAATCAGTTTCTTAAATTTGATATTAATGGTATTAATAGTATTACAAAATTAATGTGAGGATACTGACTTGCTCAACCGAGGAACTCAATGACTGATTTACAAACGGCGAAGGTGATCGTGACTGCAATCATAGTTAATTATGTTTTATTACAAGTATATGTTATTTTTGTACATGTATTATTGTAGTTATATTTTAAACTTACATGGTTAAGTTCTATTGAATAGATATTCTTCCCGGAAATTGCAAGTGCATTCTCAGAGAACGTTTTCTGGCTTAATTCTTGTAAAGTAAAATAATTTTTGACAACATGCTTATAAAATGAATACCAAAACATTAGTTTACAAAAAATAACTTTTCATANCTTGCAATCTTTATTTTGATTTATCCCCTGATTTGCTTCGTGTATCATAGAAGTGGAAGACTGGGAAGCATTTATATTCAAAATAGTTCTGAAACGATAAACACTTTTATGAAACAAAACGTATGTAATCACGCAAACCCATATAATAATTATAATAATTATAATAAAGTTAATATTAACTTTCTATAAGACATATGCTTTTCTAAAAAGCTAAGGCTTTCAAAGAGATGCCATTTCTGTCGCATAGGCTTTGCAACACCACTTCTGATTTTGTTTTCCTGCATCTGCCGTTCTTTGCTGAAACGCTGACGAATGCGTGTCTATCTGATTTGGAAATTTGATGCTGTACAAACCAAATTATTAATAAACTAAACTGAACAGTAACCGAACAGTAAACAAATATATTAAAGTTAAAACTTACTTGAAATATTTAATATTTCAGCAATTTTTTTCCATGCATTATCTTTTAGTTGTACGTCTTTATAGTCTTTTTTAGTTGTATCATATAGGTAAGGACGACTTCGTACAAGGTCGATTAGAAGTTCATCTCCGAATTTTTGATTGTTACTTACTTCATTGTCAACTTCATTACAATTGCTCACATCATGGCCAACAAAAACCGTGTCTTGTGTGTCAATCAATATTTCTTCTTCTAAAAAATTATTTTTATAATATTTGTAATGATCCATTCTTTAATTAACTTAAACACTAGTAGACACAAAATTGCTCGAAACAGGATTTGTATGTGTATCTTCTGCACAAAAANNTTATAATCATGTAAACAGAATAAAGAAAAATCCGAACACTGTGATTGGTAGGCTATTAGACAATAGACACAGAAATCCAACTCGTCGGAAATTTTATCGCTATTGCCTATTCCGTGTTCCAATCTGCAGGAAACACGTCTTTNCGAATGTTGGATTCCATTGTTCCTATCGTTATTTTTATAGCCGGTGTTACTTCTACCGCTATCGCTATTCCCTCGCATTGTGCAAGAGGCTTTAGCCGCTCGCGCTAGCCGCGTACGCTATAGCTATGTCAAAAGAAAGAGACAGTAAACATATCTCTGTTCTCTTCTACCGCCCGAAGACGACCGAAGCGTCGAGCGCACACGTACACGGCTGCTCGCCTGTGTGCGTATTCCCTNTACTTGCTGCAGCGTGCTGTAAGAGAGTCAAAACTGGGCACACTGCTCACGGTGCATAGTTGTTTCGGGTGGCGTCCGAATTATTTCTTTTTTCTTCNTAAATCACAGAAACAAACAAAGCCCGCTTATCTCCGAATACCAGTCGTAGAATCATGACACATTCAAATTTATTTATATCATTAAATCTATCGGAACCTAAGAAATGAAACAAAACCGAATTTGTCACCTGACATAAGGAAATACATTTTTAAGATGATCTAAGTTGCGTAAACATGGGGTAAAGAGGCTGGCTGCACTAAACAACTCGTATTGTCCCTCTCTCTCACACTTG